AAAACCCATACTTACGATCCACACAGGCACCCTTTGCTGTAGTCTATAAAGCATATAATGGTCTTCTTCTGATTATTAGGTACTTTTTATTTGTTAAGGTTTCAAGCAGAGCAAACAGGAAAAAATGAGAGCTAAGTTAACTTGTGGACTTAATCTCTGAAAATTGGAATTGTTAGAAGAACATACGTCTGTCTTTTGAAAGAAATCATATTTACTTTGCTTAATCTAGGGAAATAAGAAAGTTAGCGTTTATACCCCCAAAAAAAAAAAAAACCATACTTATGATCCACACAGTCACCCTTTGCTGTAGTCTTCTTCTGATTATTAGGTACTTTTTATTTGTTAAGGTTTCAAGCAGAGCAAACAGGAAAAAATGAGAGCTAAGTTAACTTGTGGACTTAATCTCTGAAAATTGGAATTGTTAGAAGAACATACGTCTGTCTTTTGAAAGAAATCATATTTACTTTGCTTAATCTAGGGAAATAAGAAAGTTAGCGTTTATACCCCCCCCCATCAAGATAGGAAAGAGAAAAAGAATTTTAATTCTCTCTAACTGAAGTGGAGAGGAAGGGAACTGTGACTTTTCCCCCATCTCACAAGAACAAAGGCAAATGTTTACCCCTGTCCTCTCCGAGATAGGATCAAGAGAGAAACATGAAAAAGAAGTGGCATCGTCAACACTAAGAATATTAGTTTAGGTTGAAGGGAGGTCAGCATAGATTAGAGTAGGTCTAGGAAACCCTAGGAAGTCCCCCCCCCTCTCCATATACCTTCTTCAACACAACCTGAGTTCCATCCTCACTTATCTCCAACAGAGTTGTCACTGTAGTCTTGAAAAATCTGTGTTCTACCTATCAGGTAATTATCAGCATGTACTGATTCTTAACTTGAGCAACACTTCCTTCAATTCATTGCCATTGCTCTTATTTGGATATTTTTGCACCCAGTAATGTCACTGTATAACCAGATCTGATTTGGGCTTGCAAAGTTTTGAGGGGAATATTTTGCTCCCCCAACGCTACTTTTGTTCTACATGAAATAAGCAAACATTTCACACAAATCTACTGTATATTCCTTCATATACTTGTGCCTTGTCTAGATGGGAGGGAATGGGGGAATGTTAGTTTTAAGAATGGATTAATAATATACCGTACTGATGTAATTTATAACTGAGCAGGCTGAAGCTCTGGTTTCTCCCATTGCTCAATCATAGACATGTTTCCGTGTGTCATTTAAATCATTTTTCTTAGATATGACTTTCCAGGCCCTGATCTGAGATGTGTTTTTTGTTGTTGTTTCTTTGTTTGTGTTTTTTTGGGTGGAAAGCTGCTTTGGTACACAGAGAAGCTCTTCTGCTCTGTTCTAGATGACAGTTTTGGTAGTCTGTTTTTGGGTGGAAAGCTGCCTTGCTCCACAGAGAAACTCTTCTACTCTGTTCTAGATGACAGTTTTGGTAGTCTAAAAGCATTTTCATATTTATGCTGTGAATATTGGAAGCATTTTAAAGAGCTCTTGATTTAGTGTTTCTTCTTTTTTGAGGCTTGGTCCTTTTAATTAGTCTCAGTAGGTAAACAGACTATAAACTCTTTAACTAGAAAGAGAAAATGCATTGCTTTTGGGACATCAGACAAGAGAGGTGATCAAGGTATCATTTACAGTGCAATCTTATACACGTTGACTCCCCGACAATTACTACCAAATTCAATAAGCCTTACTCTGCGATTAGTACAAATACGTAGCTCAGTGGTGTAACACATACTTTGCCTGAAGAAAGTCCCAGGTTCCGTTGTCAGGATCATGCAGATTTACCTCAGTTAAGTGTGTCTGTCATAATCCCACCAGGTGGAGCTAGGGAAAATCCATGTAGGAAGTTCTTGAAAACCATGGAAAAAATTAAGGTTGACAACAATGGACTAGATGGATGGATTCATCAATTCCGTTTAAGGCACCTTTCTGTTTTCCTGTCATGATGGTGTCTGAGTCAGTATGTCCTTAAACCTTATGATGAAGAACCCCCCCCTCCTTCATTGCCTTTAGTCCCCTAAATTCTGCAGACTTGAGACAACCACAGCAGAAAAAGACCCTGATCTAATTTGTTGTCAGGATCGTGCAGATGTCTCTGATTTACCTCAGTTAAGTGTGTCTGTCATATTTCAGCCCTGCTGTTGTCATTTATCTTGTGCAAATTCTCTCTGTGTTATTCTTATATATTTATTGATGGATAAATTAAACCCATTCTGTGTTTTCCTGCCTGTTTGCTTGCCAGCTCTTCTTTCTTTGAATGCTGGGTAGCCTGCAGGCCTTTCACACCTTTTTCTAATTAAGTTCTATTATCAGGCCATTTCTCAAAGGAAACCATTTGGCTCAACAGACCTGGTGTTGTAAGAAGGGTGGAGTGCATTTCTAACTGGAGAATTCATTCCGTGACTTTTCTCCATTCATATCTTAGGCCAAATATTTAGCCACGGAAAGAGTATGAATGGAACTTCCCTGGTGCTAATACTAAACACCCAAAATATTGTTGGGGGCTTTTATCTAAAGAGAAAAAATAGCACAATTTTGTATCACAGCTAAATATGGACTCTGAAATTAGGAAGAGGTGGAGGGGGGGGACTCTGGCTAAGTGGCTAGACGGCCACCACACCCCTAGCAGTTGTTCAAAAGAGATTGTTGCTGAAGGCAAATTAAGCGAAAGCAGAACAATCACCAATAACTGAAATATCCATCTCATAATCTGGTCATCTAGTCAGATACCATGGTCAGATAATTCATTAGAGGCCCAAGATGGTTCCAAACCATATTTGAAACAAGTCTGTCCCTGGATGCCATGAGAATTGCTTATTCCCATATTTCCATAATCTTTAGATGCTGCTGTGTGAGAATGTAACAACAGCCCCAACAACGGCAATGAGAGGAAATACAATATCTATATTTCTTGTTGCCCCTAAAACTATTTCCCAGTGCAAGGGCTGCAAGTCTCTGGCTTTGGCCCTGGCAATCAAATCTGGGGATTTATTTTTGAAGTCTGAGGCTTTGCCCCTGGCCGCACCATAAATGGAAGGTGGATGATCCTAGGTCATTGGGTTAATTCCCTTAGCTTTAGGAAAGTCTCTTTACCCAGGCTTCAGGTGCACCCATCGTCTTTTAGTCACTTATGCACTAGAGCTCCAGGTGATACTATAGTTTCCCCTTGACAATTTTGTCCAGTCATATCCGGCTCTAGGGGGCAGTGCTTATCTCCGTTTCCAACCCATAGAGCTAGCGTTTGTCCGAAGACAATCCTCCGTGGTCACGTGGCCAGCGTGACCAGACATGGAACGCCGTTTACCTTTCCACTGAGATGGTACCTATGTATCTAGTTGCATTTTTGCATGCTTTCAAACCGCTAGGTTGGCGGGAGCTGGGACAAGCGATGGGGGCTCACTCCGTAAAATTTGCTTTTGCTGCGAGCATCTCAGATGAATGACCCCCAATGCAGCATTCATCTAAGAATTTGAATTGTGTGAACTGGATCTTGAGGTAGTGCCATTTGTTTTGGACTATCATTTAGAACAGAAATCATGTTTTGCAAGCATAGATCCCTTCATAGCCACTGCTGAACAAGTCCTGTCTTTCCATCTGTGATTTGTCCAAGTATTAGAAGGAGGGAAGTTTTCTGTCCTAACATATTTATGAATGATGATGCAACTTCACATTTGATCTTAGGTTGTGGCAACTATGACAGTTTTACTGTGGCATTTGAATTCCTCTCTTCTGTGACACTGTGTGCCAAACAGGATGCTACAGCTAACATTGTCAATAGAAAGGAAGAAGTCTTTAGAGGTCAAAGACAGACAGTTTTTTTCTAGGATAACATTTCCTTACTTCTGAAAATAAGTAGAATGTACTGTTGGTTACATCGAAAAAGCAACTCTTATTTGCATCAGGCCACGGTCACACCAGCAAAATGTTTCCCAATTCTTCCGCATTGATTTTGATCATCATCATTATTAATTTTTGGTGGTCGATGCACAACCATTATCAGATCTTTTGGTCTGCCTCCATGCTATCTCCTCATCAAATCCCTCCCACAAGAGGTTTCTACATTTTTTTTTGTGGGATTCATTGTGCAACAAGTACAGTGGGAGCATATCTGTACAGCTGTACCAATACTTTTGCTGGCAAGCTGCCTTGTGTTGCTTCTGCCAGTGATGTTATTTGCCTGTATGTCCCTTTTATTTTTTTTATTATTTTTTTTAGTGAGCAGAGTGTCAGTGTGTTGAAAAAAATGTTATTGGCCTCTGCGTTTCATTTATTTGCAGATCCTTCCACCAGGTGGCGCTTCCTTCCCAGAGGGAATTACAGTGGACCCTCGACTTACAGACGGCTCCACTTACAGACTTTTCAAGTTACAGACTTCTCTGGCCGTAAAATTTAGGTTCGACTTGCAGCCTGAAAATCGACCTACAGACTGGGAAAAAAACCCAAATGGAACAAAAACAGCCGGTTACGGATTAATTGGTTTTCAATGCATTGTAGGTCAATGGAGCCTCGACCTACAGACTTTTCAACCTGCAGCCACTGTTCCAATACGGATTAATTCCGGAAGTTGAGGGTCCACTGTATTCCAGTACTGAACAGTAGCCAGTCATAGCACATCAAATTTAGGGAAATATTGCGGTAATTCAAAAGCACATGAAAACGCAAACCCCAGGATATATGTCACATAATTGCAATGTGCGATTGCTCAGAGAGTAAAAGATGCGAGAAAACAGGAGGACATTTTGCTGGTGTTACCATGGCCTCTGTCAGGACTGGGACCTTGCTGGAACCCAGCAATTTTAGTGCATGCAGGATCGCCCCCATCCCTCTGGGGAGAACTGCTCTAAGGACTGCCGGACTGGGCCCTTTCTCTGCAGCTGTTGCCAAGCTCCTCAGGACTGCCACCTGGGGAAGCTGAGGACTGTGCTATCTAAGAACAGGCTTTTCCTGCAGGCCCTTGCTTCAGCAAGAAGGTCTCTGGCTGTGCTAATATTCCTGGCTTGCCTGGCTGCTTTGTCTGTCAGCCTCCTTGTTCCTTCCTTGCCTTTCCTGCATCCCTAGACCCTACTGCCTTGATATGGCTCCTCCTGGCTTTGACCCCTGGACTGTCTGACCATGATTTGCATCATTCTTCTATCCAGGTGCTGTTTGGATTCAAACCCCCAGCTGGTTGGTTTCTGCTTGAGCTGTGGGGTTGGTTCTACCTTGTTCCTGTGATCTTGCTCTGGACTGGGTCCTGGTGCCTCTTCTACTGAACCTTGACAGCCTTACTTTTAAAAATAAGTTCCTTATAATCTTGCACTCCTAAATAGTTATTCATTTATGGGTATGTTACTTATACTTCTTTACTTCCCAGCACTGGCACTGCACACACTATTTTGCAAATGATGTTGTCTATATCACAAAAGTGGTACCCATAGGATATCTCAGTGACCTTCACCTAGACCTTGGGTTTTGGCCCCATGATCCCAGGAGACTCTTGACCTGGCAGCACTGCAATGCTTGTGTTGATTGTACAGCATAATGTATCTCTTAAGAGAGTGTTACTCTTCAGCCTCTCATACTACCATGTTCAATTCTATTGTATTCTATTCTTAACAATTTGAAAATCTAGTACAACATTTCTGCTGCAGGAGAAGCCCATCCAAGTATGACTTACACAACAAAAATTATTGTTTCTTTCTCAGAACGTATAATTAATTCTTTGAGACGGCCAATTACGGTGAAACAGGAAAACCCAAACTCTTATTCGGGCCATTATCTTTAATTCTGCAAGATTTCACATTTTAATGACCTAGCAAAACATTGTGCTACTCCACACAGTGTTTTGGACCTCCCAGGTTTGATTCTAAATAAGCAAATGCTAATCTGGGCTTTTTAAAAGTTGAGTTACAAATCCCCAAATTATTCAGCTTTTAGAAATGAAACAGACAGCTCATGGAAGAGCATGAACACAGATCTACAGAGGAGAGTGAGATACAAGGGTAAGCATTTTGGTAGGACAGTGTTTGCAGCTTCTGTAGATTATTCATTGGCATCCTGGGTTTGGAAGCATATCTAGTTCTTTTGGTTTTGCTCCTTTGGAACCTGAATGTTAGCATATGAAAGAATCTTCCCCTGATTTAGAAAGAAAAAAAAACTCACTGTGTATATTTGCAAGTGTGTGCACACAGCTATTTTTCTTAACTTCTGCATTTTATTGTCCATGATGCAAATAATAGTTGATTCAAACATACCTGTACCTTTGTGTTTAGATCCAAGGTCATCTTCTGTTACTACTTTCAAATTGTGGCATATGCAATCTAAATGGAAGGAGGTGAAAATATGGCATTCTGCATGCATGTGGTTGCCAGGTTTAAGGGCACCAATTCAAGTCTCAAAGAACTGCTGTGCTTGGGTCTTTAGGCCAGAAGACAGACATGTCTCCAGGTAAGCAGTGCTGAAGGAGCAGAATGTGAGATTTTTGAATTTGAGATCATTTTAAAGCCTAGATGACTAACTTAATTCATTCCTAGATGGCTCAATGGATCATGGTAAAGGTGCTTATATGTGTGTTTTGCTTGTTCAGCGTTAACACTCCAGAGATGGAAGTCATGATGTGAGAAGTCCAAGGAGACAGTTGGTGTGCACGAATCTTCAGAGTCATGGCTTCTTGAATAAGCACCGGCAACAGCAAAACAGGGCCGAGAAAAAAAAAAATATGTGGCCTCATGGTGAGCGTTCCCCAAGTCCACACATTGGTGTCGGGCTTGGAAAAAATCCCCATGATTCACGTGTTCTGTATGTAGGTAAGGCTGTACAAATATGTCAGCCCAAATAGGAATGCCAGAAACTGTCACAGCTGTTGGATACCGTTTCACATCTGCAGAAGAAACCAGTTTGTTTGTTTGTTCCTGGAGCTGAGGTCTAAAGCCATTTTTTGTTCCTGGATACCTGTCATGCCCATCTCCACAATCAGCTTGCCAGAATTAGTTTTGGCCTGACCGTTTCCTGACCCACCCCTCTGACATCAGACGGGCTTGCCTTCTGGTCTCAAGTTTTTGCCCCTGAATCTCAGAGAATGGAATGCTGATGATCTGCCAATTCTAGGCAGGAAATATCAAAATGTTACAAGATTCGTTCATTCATTTCTAATTCCCCAATTATGTTAGTTATAAGCATAATCGGAGAATTAGAACTCTTGTTTGATAGAAGTTATAAGCATAATTGGAGAATTAGAACTCTTGTTTGATAGAAGTGTATACCAATGAACAGCAGTCTCTTATTTGCTTGTAGTAAGGATTTTAGGATTTCTTTTGATATGTTTTTTAACAATTCAGAACAAACCCTTCTATTTCTGGGATTTTTTTTTCTTATTTAATTGTCAGCAAACAATTGTGACTTGTATCAAATTTATGGTCAATTACCCAAAGCAACTCTTTGACTTAATTTAGTCTTGTGGGGTGTCCTTTATTCATACCAACATGGGGGAAAATAATGATAAAATGAATACTAAACCTATTTGCAGAAACTATGCTGTAATTCAGTCACAACTGTTAAAATGAGAAGCCGACATCTTACTTTTCCTTTCTCTGTTTCAGCCTTCACCTGTTATTCTTTTGCTATCATGTGGTACATGGAAAACCAATGAAGTATTCTGAGATAGCAGGGAGCTTGTATTGTCCTATTTGGTCACTATTAACTTAGGGCTTGTCTACATGGGTAAGTGGGGTGGATCAAGCTAAATAAGGTCAGTCGGAGGTCTGGTATGCCATCTGGTGCAAATCCTTGCATCCGAATGGCATGTGGACCTCAAAGGACCCTATTTGGTCCACAGCAGGCTGCTGTTAATTTGCCAGTGTCATGAAGTGGCTTAATAAGACAGACACGTCCGGATACAGGCAAATTAATTCCTCAGTTCCTTGGAGGGGCAAAGAAAGTGAAAAAAAAAGTGTTTATTTTGCAGCGCCTTCCAGAAGCTTTTGTTTTAAAAGTGTGGTCAACGTGTTTTCTGCAGGTCCAGAGCATAGAACCTGGAGTAATAGATTCAAATGATGAGAAACAAGATTTCGCTTTTTAGGAACAACTTCTTGACAGTAAGAAGGGTTTAACAGTGAAATGGACAGCCTCAAGTCAGTGGACTCTCCTTTCTTAAATGTTTAAAAACAAAATGGATGACCATCTGTCAGAGATGCTATTAGGTGTGGACTTTCCACTTTCTTCCTGCTTTCTTATAGGGGTTGGACTTAGTGACCCTGGGACTCCTTTTCAGTGGACAAGATTTCCATGAATATATATCAGGGCCAGTGGACTTATTCCCACATTCTACCTCCTGTGATTTTGCCCATGGGGGCAAACGTCTGTATAGGGATCTGGTTTTGGTTTAGTGCTTAAGAAGTTCCAGTTTTTGTTTTTCTACTTAGCCTTGCCCTTGGGCCACAAAATTCTTCATCACTGTCCTAGTTTTCAGATGACAGCAAATGCCCTTGGCATAAGAAAGTTTAATCAATGTTTTCATAAACTCATTCCAGTTCTAAGATTCATGAAGCTCATTTGTATATATAATACATAGACAATTCATCATTTGATTAAAAAAAGTGAGAAAGATATGCACAACCTTGAAGCAGTTTTGCCTCTATTTATATTTCCCTTAGGTACAAGACCCATATTGCTGTCCTCTTTTATTTTTCCAATTTCCGCAAGGACAAGAATACATTTCTTGCAGTAACTTACTGGAAAACTAGAATGCTGTAAAAATTGGATGCTGCTATGATTCAAAAGAGAAAAATGTTGAGAAGATGCTAATATTCTAGTTCAGTGGGGAAAGCCTAAATGCTTCGAGCTATGGTTTTTTGGAGTTGTTGGATAATTCACCTGCTATACATGAATCTTTAGAATGATTCTACACTATACAACTGTATAACATAGAGGTGTACAGGTGCATTTATGTAATGTCACATAGGTGGTAGCTTTTTTAGTGGTCTCTTCTTGAACAATTGGGATTGGGAATTTTGATTTCTTGAACTAAAAATCCTGTCATTCTCTATTCTGGCAGTTCTACCTGTCAGACATTTGACAGACACTTAAATGGGACGTCCATGGGGAAAGGTGTCAACTGGAAGGCTTTGAGACTGAGCTAGGACTAGCTCCACTTAGCTTCCTGTTCAAAAAGAAAGGTCCCAGCTAGCACAAGGATAAGAAGAGGGAGATGGAGTGGAGCTAGGCCAAACATAGACTTAGGCTGGGGCCATTTTTCCGAGATGAACCGTATTGAGATATCTGTAAGGTGTTGGTGTACCACAGTACCAGGTAGAATTTCCAGCATAGAGAATTATGGGATTTTTAGTCTAAGAAATCTATAATCCTATTCCTAGTGGCTTCTATGATATAATGGTTTTACTTTGTAGCCAAATAATAGATGTGTGAGTGCATGTATGCAACAAAAAAGCTAATGAACTAAAAAGGCTGGGATTTCCCTCCTTTTCTGGTCCCAAGTAGCATGAATGGCCCAAGTGCTTGTCCCCTTGCTCCCTCTTCCCACTTACTTCTGGCATCTTCAGTGCTCCAGCATTATGCAAATATCATTGAGCCTAGGCACCGTATTCCTATACTGTATTCCTAATTCACTCATGCCTTAGACTGACATCTGTTTTTGAGGATGGAGGTGAAATTCATGAGACACTCAGTTTTAAGATGCTCAGTCATGAATGGGGAAGAAAACTGATAAATTAACATTTCATCTTGAAATTACCTATTGTGGGCTTTCAAACCTATAGGTGAACCAAAACTCAGTTATCCTTCAAAATTTCCATTTGACCAAATTTTGTTGTGGAGGGGTGTAATAAAAAAATGCAAACAAACATGCTTATATTAGAGAAGTATTAGGGGAAAATACATTATAGTGCATATATTACTGAAGGCAGCCACTTCATATTAGCAAACCTGCTCACAAAAATTGTGTATATTTGTCACAACTGCCCACATTGTGCATATATTAGGCAAAGCACTTATGAAAATGTACATTAATTTATTTCGTGAAGACTTAAAACCAGTTTCAAACATTCGGGATGAATGACATTTAATACTGGGAAATTCTCAGACATGACAAACTGAACCTAGGGCTAGTAAACTGAGAAACTGAAAGTGGCAGGTTTCTTCCTTCCCTGTCTGTCATTGGCACGTCATTCTGACTTTTGGCCACTAGGTGGCAACAAATATGAACCCTTCGAAATATTAGAATTTTTTCTGTTTCCTCTTGATTGTAGGTAGAATTTGTATACTGTTTGGGAACAGGGAAGTTCATGGCTCTGGACAACACAAACCTGTTGACAAATAGGGCTACTGCGTGTTATGAGGCATACACAGGGGGCGGATGTTTACCTGCTATTGCAGTAACATCAAGTTTTGTACAGAGATCAGAAGACTAACATATCCGCATCTGTGTTTATACACAATGAGAAGCAGGGGAGGAAGAGCAGGCAAGATTGTTCTGAGACAGTTTTGAGTAAAGTAAGTTTGCTAGGATGTAGACAGAAAAAGTTATTGAATTTCAAAGACTGAAAGTAAACTGTTCATTGAGTCCAAATTACTGTCTTAGAGTGCAGTCAGACAATTATATCTCCTCGGACCATTCCAAAGACTTCCTGGTCTATTCTCATCCTTCTTTTTTCTTTTTGTACTTGAGAAAAGCAGAGATTTTGATAGGGATACTGCAGTTGCCTTCGCTATGTTTCTTAAATTCTTGACTCAAATCCTGGAGATGGCCAGGAGTGCCTTTGCAAGGTTAAAACTAGTGCACCAGCTGTGTCTGTTCCCGGAGAGGTCGGATCTGGCTGAGGTGACACATGCCTTAGTTACATTTCAACTGGATTACTGGAATGGGCTCTATGCCTTTGGAAAGTGTTGAAAAACTCAAGTGGGTTCAGCGTGCTGCAGCCAGATTGCTAATTGGGGCTGGTTAGAGGGAACATATAACTCCCCTGTTACAGCAAGCTCCACTGGCTGCCGATCCGTTTCCAGTCATAATTCAAAGTGCTTTAACCTACAGAGCCCTAAACGGCTTGGGCTCAAGCTATCTAAAAGGCCACTTCTACCTCTATGAGCCTGCCCAGGCTTTAAGATTGCCAGGAGAGGCCGTCCTCTGGGTTCCACCACACTCACAAGTGCATCTGATGGGGACAAGGGAGAGAGCCTTCTCTCTTGCTGCTCCCAGATTTTGGAACTTCTTCCCATCTTTGCTGTCCTTCCACAAGCAGACAAAGGCCTGTCTCTTCAGGCAGACTTTCCTTTAAATGAGTGGTTGACCAACGGGTTTTTTTAAAAAAAGGTTTTATTTTAAATCATTGTTTTACTTTTGTTTTTAATGTTGCTTTTATTTATGAGTTCTAATATAACTGCTTAATGCTTTTTAATATTGTAATTATTTAACCTTTAACTTTGTTTCTTTTAATACTGTAAAGTGCCTTGGATATTTTAGGAGAAAGACGTCATACAGATACGTTAAATAAATAAAAATTGATTAATTAATGTGGAACTCCTTGTTCTATTTCTTCTTGTAATTTCTGTTCTGTTGCATTGACATTTGCCGCAAACTCATTAGAGATTCTAAGATTTGTCAGGTTGAAAAATCCAAGCAATGATTGCCTTGGTCCCAAGAGAAATTACTGTACACAACCAGAGGCAGTTCTTGAATTCTACTTCAAAACACCAGAGAGGAGGTGATCTGAGGGCTATGGACATCTTTGCTTTGCACATTCTTTGGAAAGTGACAACTTCAGCCTGTTCAGTTATGTTTAAATATCCTTCTGGTCCTCAAACTTCCTTTCAAATGATGAAGATTCCTTACATTCTTCTTTTTCCTTGTGGCCAAGTGTGGATTTGAACTTGGGTCTTCTGAGCCTTACGGCCACACTTTAAGCACAGTATCACAGCACTTTCAAAGGACATGATGCCACACCACTGTGTCATGGTGCCACCCATGCTGTGAATTTCGGCCCAGTGAGGCCCTCATATTGTTTACAGATGGCAAGGCGGTTATGCCCGTCTGATGAAGTGGTAGAATACAAGGAGCCAGCAGCGATGGAGTAGCAGCAGCTGTGGGAGTTGCCTAAAACATACCAAACCAAGACCTGAAAAGGCAAAATGTACTAGATACCTGATGTTATGGCAATCACAGCAAACTGATTCAGAATAGCAAATATAATGTCTTAATTA